TATATATATATATATATATATATATATATAAAGAGATAAAAATAATTATATGGATAATCATAACGATGGAAATAAGGATAGTGATAATGCTAATCATATCAATAATGATAATGATTATAGTTATAGTTTTCACATACATTAAAATTTGTGTTTAGTTCACGGTAATTAGCTTAAACATAGTTTATAAGCGATAGTCCGCGATTAAACAGCAATATCGTTAATAGAGTTAGGCATTAGGTATTAATTTTGATAGAATTTATATTTTGTTAGATTAAAAATTATTTTTTGTTCCAAGATTTTAGATTTAATTGTTGATAGGCGGTAGAGCCAGGACGCCACTTCACTACACGACTTACTGTGTATGATCTGATTTCGAAGCATAATTCATGCATACTAAGTACATTTTCGTGTAGTTTATAGAACAAATAAAACATTGTGTTTGTATACAATTTATGATTGTCCTTTTTGTCAGTGTGGATAGTATTGGCACATTCCCAAGGGTGGGTCTCAAAGAGTATATTTTGCATTCTTAAGTGGGTAAATGCATGGAATGGACACTTAAGAATTGCTGTTCTCGATTCACGATGATCTATGGAACAGTTTGAAAGATGTACTCAGGCTGTGAATTAACACTCACCTTGCCAGGGACGGGGTCAGTGAGTACATTTTGCTTTCTTAAGTGGGTTAATACATGACATGGATACTTAAGAATGACTGATCTTGATTTAGGATGACCTAAGGAACACATTGTCATATGTTTCATGGATGTACTCAAATTGTGAATTAAAATGCTAATTAGCGTTAATTAGGTCGTTCTTAAGCAACCTAATATACAAGTTGAAAGCTTAAGAATTGGGAATTTTGACTTCCAATCATACAGAACACATTTTAAGAAAGTTTGAAAGATGTACCCAAACTGTGAATTAAGAGTCACATTTAGGGGGTCTTCAGTGCCCCCCCCCCCTGGTTGCTGTGCAGAATTGCGGAGCTTAAGAATTGCCTTCTGGGGTCTCCTATCATAGATGCATACACTCCAGGCCTCAAACCTTTTGTACTCGAGATGTGAAACAAATGTCTCTGGGCTCCCGGACTAGATCTCCTGGCCTCCTTCAAGATGCACCGGCTCGATCATCACCTCTCTCTCTCCGAAAAATGGAAAGAAAATGGGTATTTCTTTTCCTTTCTTTTATCTCTGCCATGTGTGCATGCTGTACTACTTTGTTACAAGTGCAGTGATTTTTTTTTTAAATGTCCAATGTGTCTGTGCAAAGTGCATTTTCTTTCCTTTTTTTCTAGTGTGTACCATGTTCTGTTTCGATTATAGAATTAAAGCATAGATTCGTTGTCCATCTCTATCGACAACTTTTGCTTCCTTATAGTTCTGCACAATCCTTATCTCTTGTAGATTTTCACCTCCTGCTATCTGATACAATTGCAACCCAAGCAAGTCCTCACGAACTATTGCAATTGTCTCCCTAAGCATGTTCCTCTGTCTGTCCTTTGACAGTGTATTATTGAAAAAATGAATCATGCAATTTAATTGAAATAACACTGTCATTACAATGTGATATGTTTTTATATCTTACGGCCCTTGCTATCACACAACCCCCTCCCCCCCACTGTTTGCCCTCCTGTCTCTCTCCCTGTCTTTGCCCTCGATGTACTTCTTTCAGAGAACGCCAGAATCATCCCGTCGAGGACGACGGCTAATAGCGTATGCTGAGCGATCTCAGGGACCAATCACGGCTTCGGGTTAGCTAGCCACGCCCCCAGCGCTCGTGACCCTTGACCTGTTCTTCAATGCTTCCACACTCGACCTCGGGTCACCCGGGAGCCCACACGCTTTCAGCTCGGTGTACCTCTTGCGCCCACCTCTGCTCGGGACTTGCACCAGCACGAGACTGCCACGCCACGCCACCAGCAACCAAAGCTGTGTCTTCATACCCACCAAATTCGGGGAAAACAAACCCTGACAGAGAGAGAGGAGGGGGGGGGAGAGGAGAGGAAAAAGAAAGAGAGAGAGTGTATGTGTGTGTGTGTGAGAGAGAGAAAGTTAGAGAGAGTAAATGCGTGTGAAAGAGGAAGAGAAAGAGAGAGAGGGCAGGAGGACTGAAGAAGGGACCAAGGGAAAAAGAGAAAGAGACAGATAGTGATTAGCAGTGTGTGTGAGAGAGAGAGAGAGAGAGAGAGAGAGAGAGAGAGAGAGAGAGAGAGATTAATCCGGTGGCAGAGAGAGTAATATGGGATTTAAGACATATGCATTTTTTTTCTGCTACATCTGACCCTTCTGAAGAAGAATCAGTGCAAAGATCGCAACCTTGAGGATTTTTTATTTATGACCGAAATTAAAATGGCCGCCGCAGTAACTCATTCATAACTAAAAGTCGGAATTGTATGAAATATATTTCATACACCTCCGGTAGTGCTTTACAAAATTTCCATTAAATTCGCGAGGAACATACTTAATAATGGTAACACGTAAGGATTTTTTGATTAATGT